TCGATTCGGATATCCGTTCGGGTATTTCATTTTAAAAAACCCGCTCGGTTCGGTTCCGGTTCCAGTTCGGTTCGGACATTTTGCCCAGCCCTAGGAGAAACTGTCAAGACTGTCGAATGTTTTAGCACCACCACAATCGCCAGCGCCACCAAGTGCAATGGTTCCACGATTGGTGATTGCATTCCGGTAAATGAAGAGTTTCTGATGGAATCAGAAATAAGCAGAAGGATTTTGGCTCAAAAGTCCCCAGGGATCACTTACAAAACTTCCAATGCAGCTAGACCCTTCTGCGATGCAAATGTATACCATAGTTGTATGGATAATAAGAACACGAAATTCGATACGCGCCCTTGTAACTCCTGTAATCTCTGCGGTAGGACTGGGAAATGATTTAATGATTTAAGGATCAAATGATTTAAGCCAAACATCATCAGTGTTCCCGTTTTGACGCTTATGGTTTTGCTCTACAATCAGTCTTGAACATCATTGTTGCCATCTTTGACAATGATTAATTAAATTTTTACGTGTGTGTGTGTGTGTGTTTTTTTTCCAGAATAACATTGGAAATGTAATAAGAACCATTCAGGCTAACAAGACTACTGAAGATGCTACACAAGCAGTGCAAGGATTGACGCTTCCCTGAGAATTTTTATTTGATCAACCGTTACCAGCAATCCACTTTACCGAATTGTATTTGTCACTGGTTCCAGCCTCCTGAATCCTGGACAACGGCGAACCAAACAGGCAAATTGGAGCTTTGGTTTGATCAGTGAAGTTCATTTCTTACATTCAACTAAAATTTGTAGTTGTACATTTTCATTTTCGACTATGTTGTATCCATGTAATAGCAAGGTGGCAAAACGTGACAATTTTTGAAAAGGCGATAGTGGAGTCGTCCTTTCAACAAAAACTTTAGCATGTGATCACGTCTTTTTCTCACTGTCCTTTTAATCAATTTGCTCATCTATGGGCTCTTATTCTTAAGGAGGAATAGCCATTAATTTCTTATCCAAAACTGTGAATTTGTCTATAAATTATCTTCATCTTCTGTTAAATAGATCAATGTTATTTGAGATTTCTTTGAAGAGAGACATGAACTTCCTTTACTTTATAGTGGGCGTTCTTGCGATCCTTGGCGAGACTGTCAAGACTGTAGAATGTTTTAGCACCCCCACAATCGCCAGCGCCACCAAGTGCAATGGTTCCACGATTGGTGACTGCATTCCGGTAAATGAAGAGTTTCTGATGGAATCAGAAATAAGCATAAGGATTTTGGATCAAAAGTCCAACGGGGTCAGTTACCAAACTTTCATGAAAACCAAATCCTTTTGCGATGCAAATGCATACGGTAGTTGTATGGGAAATATGAACACGAATTTCAAAAATCGCCCTTGTAACTCCCCTAATCTCTGCGGTAGGACCGCGACATGATTCAAGGATCAATCAATTGTGGAGAGCATGTACGGCTTTGCTTCTTCTACAAAAGAAATCAGTGTTCCCATTTGTTGTCCTTTATAAATGTATGTATTATGCGAATAATTAATGTCGTATGTTTGTATTTTGTTAGTTGCTTTATTACATGTATTATATTAATCAGCTTGTTTACTCCAAATTAATTTAAAAAAAATTACCACCCTCCCTCTATATGCTAAAAAGAAGCAAATATAATGAATCCAGTAGGTTAGGTAGGTTACGAGCTAAAAATTACTCCATCCGTTCCATAAAAAAAAAGCTTGATTTTCTTTTTCGTCTATCCCAAATTATCGGTCACTTTCCTTATTGAAAGTGCGGATGTTTCTTAGTTAACTACGTACATATAAGGATTTTTTGGCCAATAATATTATTGTTTAGTTTCTTTTCCACATTAATATATTTCTAATGAAATACACTAAGAAAGATTAGTATTCCAAAACTTTAATTTCAACATCATATATTTTTTTTTCCAAAAAAAAAAAAAAATCATCAAATACAAAAAGACCCAAACAAATAGTGGGTCCCACACCAAACGATTGCTATTTTGTCCCTTGTGCGGAATTCCTCTGCGCCAACGATTAATTAACAATTATTAAAACAAAATCTGGTGATTAGAGATATTTAAATAAAACGAAAAAGAAGGAAAATTTTGCACCATTGGCCCTTAACCTATTCCCTCAATGGGTTGTTGGTTTCTAACTTTTGAAAGGAGTAAGATGGAACCGATTATTGCATTATAGTTGCACGTGGATGTCTTTAATGACAAAAAATAGTCTAGGCCATGTTTGGTTGAGCCAGAAAATTTGATTATAATCTAAATCAAAACCAATAATTAATTTTAATAATATATTTCATGAGATCCACATTTTTTTAACCACACATTTCTTTAATTTTTTTCAAAATCTGCTAAAAATTTAATTTTATCAAAATCAAACAAGGGTTAAACCTTCGTTAAATTGTCAAGTGACTCTCATAAAAGTATATCATAATTGGGAATTTTTAAATACCAATCCTAGTTGTGAAGTAAATTTAAAATGAAACCGACAAGGACAACTTAATGATTCAACACTTATTCGAAAACTTTTTTGTAATGAGAGACCGATTGATTATGCAACAAATGTAATGAAAAATACGAGGATTTACTTTCTATATATTTATTTTAGAAGATGGATAATGCAACCTTGTACACCATTTTTTCTTCGTCGTGCTTGACATTATCATTGTTGTCAATAAATGAGTTGGTTGAAAAAATATATTTTTTTAAATCTGTCCAATAATAAATTACCACATGACAAAACTTGATTGTACACAGTACACCAAGCATGATTGCAGGCTAATTTACTATTTTTAAAGGATTAATCTATGTTTACTTCCTACCTTACTAAATGTATTACTACATGGCCACATGGCNGTCTAGGCCATGTTTGGTGAGCCAGAAAATTTGATTATAGTCTAAGTCTAAGTCTAAGTCAAAATCAATAATTAATTTTAATAATATATTTCATGAGATCCACATTTTTTTAACCACACATTTCTTTAATTTTTATCAAAATCTGCTAAAAATTTAATTTTATCAAAATCAAACAAGGGCTAAACCTTCGTTAAATTGTCAAGTGACTCTCATAAAAGTATATCATAATTGGGAATTTTTAAATACCAATCCTAGTTGTGAAGTAAATTTAAAGTGAAACCGACAAGGACAACTTAATGATTCGAAAACATTTTTGTAATGAGAGACTGATTGATTATGCAACAAATGTAATGAAAAATACGAGGATTTACTTTCTATATATTTATTTTAAAAGATGGATAATGCAACCTTGTACACCATTTTTTCTTTGTCGTGCTTGAGATTATCATTGTTGTCAATAAATGAGTTGGTTGAAAAAATATATATTTTTAAATCTGTCCAATAATAAATTACCACATGACAAAGTGTAAAACTTGATGTTATGTACACAGTACACCAAGCATGATTGAAGGCTAATTTACTATTTTTAAAAGCATGTGATCATGTCCTTTTTTAAACTGTCCTTTTAGTTTACATAATAAAATACCCGTAAAATCAAAATTTTTCTCTACTTTTTAACTATACATTCTACTAAAATCACTATTCAAAACATTAATTTTTAGAAATAATGACCATCAACCAAACAGGGGCTTAATCAACTAGCTCATTTATGGGCCCCTATCCAACATTATGAATTTATCTATAAAGCCATCTTCAATATCAGTGGAGATTTCTCTAAAGACAAACATGAATTTCCTTTACCTTACAGTNCTTAATCAACTAGCTCATTTATGGGCCCCAATCCAACATTATGATTTAATCTATAAAGCCATCTTCAATATCTGTGTAGTTTTCTCTTAAGTCAGACTTGTATTTCCTTTACCTTACAGTGGGCATTCTCGCAGTTACTGTCAAAACTGTCGAATGTTTTAGCACCAGCGCCACCAAGTGCAATGGTTCCACAATTGGTGACTGCATTCCGGTAAATGAAGAGTTTCTGATGGAATCAGAAATAAGCAGAAGGATTTTGGATCAACCTCCCGAAGGGATCACTTCCAAAACTTCCAATGCAGCCAAACCCTTCTGCGATGCACCTACATACGGTAGTTGTATTGGTGATCCGAACACGAATTTCAAAAAACGCCCTTGTAACTTCGAAAATAAATGCGGTAGGTCTGGGAATTGATTAAGGATCAATCAATTATGCCGAGCGTGTACGGCCTTGCTTCTTCTACAAAAGAAACTGGCTTATCTTTTACTTTTTAAGCTAAGCCAAACATGATCAGTGTTCCCGTTTGTTGTCATTTGTAAATGTATGTATTATGCGAATAATTAATGTTATATGTATGTATGTTTTATGTTTGTTTGCCTAATTACACGTATTATCTTATATTAATCAGCTTGTTAACTCCAAATTAATTTATAAAAAATTTGGAAAAGGAAATGCCACCCTCTCTCCCTCTGTATACTAAAAAGAAGCAAAGACAATGAATCCAGTAGGTTGGTTAGGAACTAAATTACTTGTATTGAGTTAAATAAATAAGAAATATGTTTCATCTCCATTCAATACATGGGAAAAATTAGCCTAAAATATTTATATGTAAATTACACAAAAGGAATTGAATTGACGTCACTCAAAACCAAGAGCAATGAAAGAAAATATGAAAAGTCAATTCTCTATTCACGAATCTTGAAATCAAACCTTGATTCTTCAATCTTCGTGTGTTAATTGCATAGGTTCTCGTACTAGATTCCTTCTTTGCGCTCTAAGTTGGTGTGTCTCATCGATGGCCGCCTTAATTAGGTCTAATAGGTGCAAGAATTTCATCCCAAAAAGAGTTGAAGCAAACAAGGAAACTATTGATTCGCCTAAAAATTTGCCCCCCATTCTCGCACTACATATGTTCTACCATGCACTACTTCATTGGTCCAGCCTCGAGTTTGATTTCCTTGGGGTTTGCATGAGCGTGGTTCAGCGTGGCGCGTGTGCGCCAAATTCATTTTCAAGAATGTTTGTTTTGGTCCCTAGTTTTGATACATTCTTCGGTTTGAATCATTTCTTCATGCAATTTTCATCATTTGACTTTTAATTTCATCCAATTGATTCCATGCATTCTCCAATAATCGATATGATGTCCAAATCAACTATTAAATATTTGTACTTTGGTTCTCAGACTTTGAAAATCAATCATTTTAGCCCATTTTTCGCTCATTTTATTCAATTCCATCATTTTTCATTGAGTTGTATCGGACAAACGAAATTTATAAATAATTAAGACAATATTCATCAAAATGCATAGAAACTAATCTCATTTAAATGCTTAGATAAATATATTGTTTGATGAATTTCGATCGTCAACTACGTACATTTAAGGATTTTTGGTCGATATAACGTCTGCAATATAATTTTTTTTAAAAAAAACTATTACAAAATGACCCAAACAAATAGTGGGCCCCACACCCACACCAAACGATTGCTATTTTGTCAACTTGTGTGGAATTTCCACTGCACCGACAGAACCAACGATTAATTAACAATTATTAAAACATAGTTAAATAAAATGAAAAAGAAAAAGATTTTTTTTTGAAAGGAGCAAGCTGGAACCCAATGTTATAGTATAGTCCCACATGAATATCTTTAATGACAAAAACAGTCTAGATCTTGATTAAGTCACTATTTGATTTAATTAAAAATCATATTCAAGCACCTTTTAATAAAAAATTATGAAATAAGTGGTTGAAAAGTTAATAAAAGTTCTGAATCCCATAAAAAATGTGTGTTGACTTGAAAATGAATTTTTAAAAATGGCTTTTCCCATTTGTACAGAAGCAGCAACAATAGAAATTGACCGGAATAGACTAGAACAATGGGCCCCACAGTATATTTAAATATGAGAAAATTACACTCACCCCTGATTTTAGATTTTCATTTTCAAAAATCACATTACAAATTTAACTTTTCAAAAATAGGTTTTTTATATTTAATTTAATATTAATTATATAATTTTCATTCCAATTAAAATTACTCAAACCAACCCTAAAATTCATTTCCCTCTATCCCATTCTCTCCTCCCGTTTCTATGCTTGGAACCCGCTGCCAACAGCACCTCTCCCCGCCGGTGAAAGCCCATATATCAAAATCTATGGTTTTTTCCAGCAGCGCGGACTCCCACAACAAAATACACGTAAAATCAAAACTTTTCTTTATTTTTTAACCACACATTCTACTAAAAATTACTATTCAAAACATTAATTTTTAGAAATAATGACCACCAACCAAACAGGGGCTTAATCAACTAGCTCATTTGTAGGCCCCTATCCAACATTATGAATTTATCTATAAAGTTATCTTCAGTATCAGTTGAGATTTCTCTAAAGATAGACATGAATTTCCTTTACTTTACAGCGGGCATTCTCGTGATCACTGTCAAAAACTGTCGAATGTTTTAGAATACTGCAAGTTTAAGACAACAAAACTATAGTGGGCGTTATATTACACAATTATCTAGATGATTGCATATGTTAAACTTGCAGTATTATAAACCTATTGTGAATTTTTTTGCACTACAAACAAACAACGATATATTCTTTTGGTGATCAGACAATTAAATAATAAAATTAAGCATGAAAAATCAATCAAGAATAACTAGAATTAAACTAAATTACTTGTATTGAGTTAAATAAATAAGAAATATGTTTCATCATCATTCAATACATGGGAAAAATTAGCCTAGCATATTTATATGTAAATTACACAAAAAGAATTGAATTGACATCACTCAGAACCAAGAGCAATGAAAGAAAATATGAAAAGTCAATTTTCTCTTCACGAATCTTGAAATCGAACCTTGATTCTTCAATCTTCGTGTGTTAATTGCATAGATTCTCGTACTAGATTTCTTCTTTGCGCTCTAAGTTGGTGTGTCTCATCTATGGCCGCCTTAATTAGGTCTAATAGGTGCAAGAATTTCATCCCAAAAAGAGTTGAAGCAAACAAGGAAACTATTTATTAGCCTAAAAATTTGCCCCCCATGCTTGCACTACGCATGTTCTACCGCGCTCTCGCTACTTCATTGGTCGAGCCTGGGGTTTGGTTTCCTTGGGGGCTTGCATGCGTGTGGTTCAATGTGGCGCGTGTGCGCCACATTCATTTTCAAGAATGTGTTTTGGTCCCCAATTTTGATACATTCTTCGATTTGAATCTTTCTTCATGCAATTTTTATCATTTGACTTTTAATTTCATTCAATTGATTCCATGCATTCTCCAACCATCGATATGGGGTCCAAATCAATTATTGAATATTTGTAATTTGGTTCTCAGACTTTGAAAATCGATCATTTTAGCCCTATTTTTCGCTCATTTTATTCAATTTCATCATCTTTCATCGAGTTGTATCTAATAACGAAATTTATAAATAATTAAGCCAATATTCATCAAAATGCATAGAAACTAATCTCATTTAAATGCTTAGATAAATATATTGTTTGATGAATTTTGATCGTCAACTACATACATTTAAGGATTTTTTTGGCCGATATAATGTCTGCAATATAATTTTTTATATTAAAAAAAAATAAAAAAAAACCTATTACGAATTACAAAATGACCCAAAAAAAAGTGGGTCCCACACCAAACGATGCTATTTTGTCAACTTGTGTGGAATTTCCTCCGCACCGACGGAACAACGATTAATTAACAATTATTAAAACATAGTTAAATAAAATGAAAAAGAAAGAGAAATTTTTTGCACCATTGGTTCTTAACGTCTTCTGACTTTTGAAAGGACAATGTCATAGTATAGTTCCACATGAATATCTTTAATGACAAAAATAGTCTAGATCTTGATTAAGTCCCTATTTGATTTAATTAAAAATCAGATTTTAAGTACATTTTAATAAAAAATTATGAAATAAGTGGTTGAAAAGTTAATAAAAGTTGACTTGAAAATGAATTTAAAAAAATAGGGGCCAAACATGAATTAAGTTACATTTTGGGATTTCCAACGGTATCTGAAATCGACGGAATTGATGGTCGGAAGTTGCCGAAAAATTGCAGCAAACTCGCCCAAAATATCTAAAAATCTGGGCAGATTTTCAGATATTTCGATAGCCGACTTCGTGGGTATATTTCGGCCGAATCCCTTGGAGTTGTGGAGAGATTTTTTATGGCAATTGAAGAGGACATTGTGGGCTTTCCAACAGTATCCAAATCCGGTGGTCTTGGTGGTCGGAAGTTGCCGAAAAATCGTGGCAAAACTTACCCAAAAAATCTGAAAATTCAGTGACCATTTGTGAAAGAAATTTAAACTTCAGTAACCGTTTCTACAAGTTTTAAACTTCAGTGACCGTTTGTGAAATTAACCCTATGCTAAATAGATCAATATTATTTGAGATTTCTTTGAAGATAGGCATGAACTTCCTTTACTTTACAATGGGGGTTCTCGCGATCCTTGGTGAGACTGTCAAGACTGTAGAATGTTTTATCACCATCACAACCGCCAGTGCCACCAAGTGCAATGGTTCTACGATTGGTGATTGCATTCCGATAAATGAAGAGTTTCTGATGGAATCAGAAATAAGCAGAAGGATTTTGGCTCAAAGGTACCCAGGGATCACTTACAAAACTTCCAACGCAGCCAAACCCTTCTGCGATGCAAATGCATACCATAGTTGTATTGATAATAAGAACACGAATTTCAATAAACGCCCTTGTAACTCCGTAATCTCTGCGGTAGGACTGGGAAATGATTTAAGGATCAATCAATTGTGGCGAGCGTGTACGACTTTGCTTCTTCTACAAAAGAAACTGACTTATCTTTTACTTTTAAGCTAAGCCAAACATGATCAGTGTTCTCGTTTGTTGTCCTTTGTAAATGTATGTATTATGCGAATAATTAATGTCATGTGTGCGTATGTATTATGTTTGTTTGCCTAATTACACGTATTATCTTATATTAATCAGCTTGTTCACTCCAAATTAATTTATAAAAAATTACCACCCTCTCTCTATATGCTAAAAAGAAGCAAATATAATGAAGCCGGTAGGTAGGTTATGAGCTAAAAATTACTCCCTCCGTCCCATAAAAATAAGCTTGATTTTCCTTTTCGTTTATCGCAAATTATATACAACTTTCCTTATTGAAAGAACGAATATTTTTTAGATAACTACGTACATATAAGGATTTTTTGGCCTATAATATTATTGTTTAGTTTCTTTTCCATATTAATATATTTCTAATGAAATACACTAGNATATTATTGTTTAGTTTCTTTTCCACATTAATATATTTCTAATGAAATACACTAGGGAAGATTAGTATTCCAAAACTTCAATTTCAACATCATATATTTTTAAAAAATAAAAAATACAAAAAGACCCAAACAAATAGTGGGCCCCACACCAAACGATTGCTATTTTGTCCCTTGTGCGGAATTCCTCTGCACCGACGGTGAGAACTGTTACGACTCATAAATAGAAGCACCACGTGGCACCATATTTCGGCGGTGGGACCCAATTGAATCAGGATGTGTTTTCCTGGCATCTGACGTGTCACCGAAGCCCTTATTCCGAGGCCATAATTGTTTAGCCGAAGCCCCATTATCCAAGGCCATTGGTTAACCGAGG